GTATAGAAATAGAGTTACTAGTATTGACCTAAGGGGAAGTAGGATATATTAAAATAATAATAGATTAGTTATATGTATAACTGAGTTAATTATATTGAAATAATTTGAATTGTACAAATATGATTTTGTTTTGATTAATTGATGGCCTTGCCACCATGTAAAATAAAACCAATAAAAAATTTTGTTGGAAAAAAAAGAAATATAAATGGGCGGAATTCCCCCCCCAAAAAAAATACCCTACCTAAATTGTCTTCCTCATGCCAAGCAATTTTTACAAAAATAGAAAGAAAATTCCTGGGCGATCAAATTGCCCTGGCTTGGAAAGCTACTTGGCAAAGAAAGAAAGAAAGAAAGAGTCAGATTTTAAAAACAGAAGATTTGACCTTTTAGAGGGGGCATTATATGTTTAAATACTTGTTTGAATAAGATTAAAAGAACGGATGACCCTTAGATACAATTAGACTTTTATAACGAAATATATGATTTAGAATTAAGATAGCATTTTTTTCTCTTTTTTTTGATATGGGAAATATGAAGATAAGAGGAGGATTGATTTGAATAAAACTTTTAGCTATATAAATGTAATATTGAGAAAATCATAACTGATATATTTCAAATACTGATGGGAAATCAAACCTTAACAAGAGCACGAAAAACAGGATATTGATTAATGAATTGACATTATTGACTTATGAATTGATATTATTTGTATATTAGTAAAATATGATGAAGATGCTTATATTTAACTCTGTATACATTAACAGTACCAAAAATTGTAACGGTGTAATGAGGGGAAAATGGAAAAAATATGGAGAAGAAAGGAGGATCAGGGAAAAAGTACTGGATTGTGTAGTATTGAACAGATTTATATTGAAGAAGTTAATGTTAAACATTTGAAACCAGACAAAATGTTGTTTACTAAGCACTAAAGACTGTAATTTTTAAAAATTAATAAAACTTTTACAAAAAAAAATATACTTTTTTTCCAAACCCCACAATTTTATTTTCAATCTAGAGTTCTGCATTTTCTGTTGCGGGAAGTGCCTCAACATGCTTAAAAGAATAAAAACACAGGCTTTAAATAGCAAGTAAACCAACTAGGATTCTAAGAAAAACCCTAACCTGGGTGATGAGCCCTTATTTTAAGGTGATAAGAGAAAAAAAATGCCTGTCAAACAATCCAGCTAAAGCTCCCACTCCTGACTTCAAAAGAAACTGAGTATGAGGTAAACCTTAAACCCAAATATAATCCCTTTCCTCAAATACGGGCAGTAAAAGCTAAGAGTGGCAGCTAACCTCTTGCATAAAAGAAAATAAATGCATCACAGAAAAATGAACGTATTGCTCAGGTAATAACTGGTCTTCTCATAGACGGCTGCCTTAAGTCACTCCAAATTTCTTGTCCCTATCTTCTAACAAGACATCTGTTCATCCGCAAGTTTGGAAATGTCAAGGATCAGAATTCTTTTGGGATGGAGATTACAGTATATAGAACTTATATTACACATTTAGCCAAGATTTAGGCTTCATCACTAACTTCTATGACTGTTTCTCCTTTGGTGCAGGGGAGAAGGAAATCAAATCAAGCAGAGAACGAGAACTCTCAACAAAACTCTGTAGACAAAGACTGACTTACTAAAATGTCACTCAAACACAACTGAGCTGTTATTTGAGGTTTTTAACATCTACTTGCAAGCAGATAGGTCATGTCTTCTATGGATTAACAATAATTCATGACAATACTGTGAGCAAATGAATGAAACTGTTTCAACTACATATAAGTAATGCTACAAGGTGATGACTTGGTTCCCTCAAAACAAAGTGAAAAAAGATCAAGGATTTTATATCAAGCAAAAGATGCTTTAATGTGGTACAGCTAGCTCTGGAGTACTCCTAAGCCGTTTTGAATTCCTGGTCACAAAGAAGAGTAAGGAAGAAAGTAAGTACTGTGCATTTCTTTCTTGTGTCAAAAGCACTACTATAGACAGGGTTAAGGAAATTCAGATATAAAAAGTAAATGGAAAGTTGGCTAATGACTGGAGTGAGCTCTATTACTCCACTGCTATTTGTAAGGGCTGCTAAAAAATGAGAAACAGTGGAGAAGCTGTTGAGACAGGAGTAGCATGTGCACCACTTATCTTCTTACCTCAAGTTTTTCCCTGAAAATGAGCATTCAGGAATGTTGACCATCCTGGTATGTAATTCTTCTAAAAGCTAACATAGGATCATAGTTTCTCTTTATACCAACTTTAGCAATAGAAATATTGACAAAAACAATGCCAAGGGTAAATACCAAACTGAAAAGTCTATCTGAAATATTTAAATGTTTTGTTTTTAATATTTCAGCTTTTCTGCAGTACCTCTTCTGACTCATTTGGAGGTGTCTGGGTATCAACAACCTCTTCTAACTCTTCTTCAGCTACATATTCTTGTTTGATTACTTGCTGCATATAATCTTCATCCTGAAAGAAATGCACAAGGAAGCCTTTCTTTTAAACTAATTTTAGTTTCTAAATATATCACTGCTTATTTATTCAGAAGGGGCTGGTATATATGCAATCTTCCTGACTTGTTTGCCCTGATTAACAGACTAGAAAGAAGTCACAAACTTCCATATTTCTGTAGGTTTTCCACCTCCAGCTTTTTAAATCTATCTTAAATACAACTGATTTACATAAACCAGTGTTTATCAGTTAATCAGATTTAAATAGTGAATGGTGCTTAAGAGAAAATGTAATTAACCGTGACAACAACTATATACCTAGTTGCAACTAAAACTTAGGATGAAAAGTTGGAATCTACATGGTCGTAAACAGGTTATGAAGGGTGAAATGTAACATTACTTCTATGTTTAAATAACTGAGAGCTAGATCTGCACTAATCCCAAACAGCACATTTAAAATTCTATACACATGATGTAGCTATTTACTTTTTGTGTCAATAGTTAATTTAGAAGATTAAAAAACCCAAGATTATAATACATGAAAATAACATAATTATTGCAGTTTAAAAAAAAAAGCTAGGAAAAATTACATCTACTGATTTAAACCATATATATCCCACTCTATAAAATAAAAATTGCTCATATTAATTCCTTTAAAATGTAGGATTTCGGGTTTTATTTATCTGACTAATTTGAGAGCAATAAATTACCTGTTATTTTCCATGAACTGTACTTTCTCATTTATTGTGTCTTATGAGTCTAAGAATAACATACAGCATTTTATTATGTGATTTACACATAGGCTTTAAAGCAAAGATAAAGGACTAATGAATCCATTTACATTTTGCCAGAGTTTTTTAATTGAGAAATACTTCTAATAAATGGTAATAAATCTGTTCTCATTTCAACTCAGAGCAATTGATCCAGCAAACCACTGAAACTGAAACAAATTATATACATTTGATCCCCTGCTGATTTTGTACATTTTGTACATTTGCCCACTGACAAAGAAATGAACAGTCTATAATTTTAATTGTAGGTTTAGTTTAATAGTGAGAGACAGAATAACAAAAAAATCCAGAAAAACGCATTTCAAAAAAGTTATAAATTGATTTGCATTTTAATGAGTGAAATAAGTGTTTGATCCCCTATCAATCAGCAAGATTTTTGGCTCCCAGGTGTCTTTTATACAGGTAACGAGCTGAGATTAGGAGCACTCTCTTAAAGGGAGTGCTCCTAATCTCAGGTTGTTACTTGTATAAAAGACACCTGACCACAGAAGCAATCAATCAATCAGATTCCAAACTCTCCACCATGGCCAAGACCAAAGAGCTGTCCAAGGATGTCAGGGACAAGATTGTAGACCTACACAAGGCTGGAATGGGCTACAAGACTATCACCAAGCAGCTTGGTGAGAAGGTGACAACAGTTGGTACAATTATTTGCAAATGGAAAGCACATGTAGAGGCCTGTCTGAAGTTTGCCAATGAACATCTGAATGATTCAGAGGAGAACTGGGTGAAAGTGTTGTGGTCAGATGAGACCAAAATCGAGCTCTTTGGCATCAATTCAACTCGCCGTGTTTGGAGGAGGAAGAGGAATGCTGCCTATGACCCCAAGAACACCATCCCCACCGTCAAATATGGAGGTGGAAGCATTATGCTTTGGGGGGTTTTTCTGCTAAGGGGACGGGACAACTTCACCGCATCAAAGGGGAGAAGGACGGGGCCATGTACCGTCAAATCTTGGGTGAGAACATTCTTCCCTCAGCCAGGGCATTGAAAAAGAGTGGCTCAAGAAAAAACACATTAAGGTCCTAGAGTGGTCTAGCCAGTCTCCAGACCTTAATCCCATAGAAAATCTGTGGACGGAGCTGAAGATTTGAGCTGCCAAACATCAGCCTCGAAACCTTAATGACTTGGAGAGGGGATCTGCGAAGAGGAGTGGGAGAAAATCCCTCCTGAGATGTGTGCAAACCTGGTGGCCAACTACAAGAAACGTCTGACCTCTCTGATTGCCAACAAGGGTTTTGCCACCAAGTACTAAGTCATGTTTTGCGAAGGGGTCAAATACTTATTTCACTCCTTAAAATGCAAATCAATTTATAGCTTTTTTGAAATGCGTTTTTCAGGATTTTTTTGTTGTTATTCTGTCTCTCACTATTAAAATAAACCTACCATTAAAAGTATAGACTGATCATTTCTTTGTCAGTGGGCAAACATACAAAATCAGCAGGGGATCAAATAATATTTTCCCTCACTGTATGTGACATGTTCTAAGGTAACCTCAAATCTCTTTATTCAGGTTTAGAGTTTAGACAGTTCTCAATTGTCCCAAAGGTGTTTTTTTCAGCAGGCAACTGGACTTTCTGAGAATCTCCATAGACAGTTCTCAATTAGAAAAAAAGGGGGTGGAAATGAGTGAGCAGAACATCAATCACTTTGGAATATTAGCACCTTAAAGATGTCTTTAGCAGGTCAATGAACTTTTCACCTTCGAAGGACTTTATCAGATCTTGTCTAAAGCCTGGTTAAATGCTTTTGCACTAAGTACTTCTAACAACTGGCACTGCAGCTCCACCACACAAAGCTGTTTTCTTCCTTAAGGATACAATCTTCAAGGTCATGATTCTCAACAGCCTTCCAGAAGGACAAAAGAACATTACCTACAGCTCAACACAAATTTTGTCACAGTTTAGATAAAGAAATTGGCAGTCAGTGATAATAGGTCTAATTTTGCTCTGGTCCCAAGAGAGGTAAAGAGATTTCAAATCAGTCTAAAAACATAAGCATTGTAGCAATGTTATCTCAAAAACTAAAATAGGAGAAAAAAACTCACTGGAAATTCATCTAGAGGTTCATTGATTTCAAGATCCAGCACTTCATCGTTATAATTCTCTTCTTCACCCTGGTCTTCCCCATAGCCTATTTGGTCTTCTGTCAACTCAGCCTCTTGGCCTTCATACTGTCCTTCTGAATACTCCTCTGCATATTCTTCAGGAACATCTGATTTGTCATAACTAATTTCATCTTCTCCATGTTCGTACTCTGAGTCTTGTTCAATAGATGGGTCATTAGCATTCTCTGAGAGCTCGAAGGATGTAACCATGCTAGATGCAGCATTAAGACTCACAGTGACATCTTGAGTACTACAATACAGCAAAAAAAGGATTGTTTTTAATTTAAACCAACACATTAATACTAAGCACATGGATTTTGCATGGAATGCAAGTCTCTACATTAACAAGAAAAAAATTAATTGACGCGCTCTACAGACTCAGGCTCAACCCTTCCAAGACCGAGTGGCTGTGGCTACCGGCGCCTCGGCATAGTCAGCTGGTTCCATCGCTGACTATAGGGGGCGAAACTTTGGCCCCCTCGGATAGGGTGCGCAATCTGGGGGTCCTCCTGGATTCACGGCTGACACTGGATGACCAGTTGGCGGCCGTGACCAGGGGGGCGTTTTATCANAACAAGCGGGACTGGCCTAGGGCAATTTTAGAGGGGTTTTAATTATATTTTAATCAGACAATATTTAAATATTTCTTTTTAATTAATTTTAATTTTGTAATTGTTATTGGTGTTTTTTAATCGATTGTCAGCCGCCCTGAGTCCGCAAGGAGAAGGGCGGGATATAAATTCGAATAATAAATAAATAAATAAATAAATACATGGAGCTGCCCTTGAAAAATATATGGAAGCTTCAATTGGTACAAAATGCAGCAGCCCACATGGTTTTGTGCTGGCCTAGGTTTGCATGTGTCACCTCTTCTGCAGGAGCTGCATTGGCTGTTGATTTGCTTCCAGGTCCAATTCAAGGTGCTGGTTGTCACCTTAAAACCCTACATGGCTTGGGACCAGGTTATTTGAAAGACCGTCTTCTCCCAGAAAAATCTACCTGACCTACCAGAGAGGAGAGGCAGGGAATGTTGCAGATCCCCTCTCCTAAGGAGGTACAACTAGTGGGACCAAGAAGAATGGCCTTCTCCATGGTGGCTCCCTCCCTTTGGAACATCATCCCCAGGGAGATTAGACTGGCCCCCACTTTGACACTCTTTCGCAAGGCCCTGAAGACCTGGTTTTGCCAATGGGCCTGGGGAACCCCGAGTGGGACGGAGCCCATCAAATGGCTTGTTTGACTGACTGTCGCCAGGGGGGTGGGGTGGGGGGGGGTTATCACTTTTTATTGTTTTTAATATGAGAATTTTATTTATTTATTTATTTATTTATTTATTTATTGTTTATATTTATATCCCGCCCTTCTCCTTGCGGACTCAGGGCGGCTAACAACCAGATAAAAATGCGAATCCCAAAACTACAGATTAAAACATAATTAAAAACAAATATTACTAATTGGTCTAATTAATTTAAAATTACTTTAAAACCCCCATTAAAAACTTTCCCCTATCTTTGTAAGCTGCCTGGAGTCACTGAGAGTGAGTTAGGCAGACATACAAATTTCCTTAAATAAATAAATAAATTTGATTTCATGCCACAAACTCACAATATGCATATTTATATTACTGTTTATCACCAATTGTAGACTATTTGACCAAAGGGATCAAAGCAACCACACAGTGCATTCAGAAAGTATTCAGACCACCCTTCACTTTTCAATTTTGTTATGCTGCAGCCTGATTCTACAGTTGTTGAAATTCATTTTTTTTCTCATTAATCTACACTCAGTACCCCATAATGACAAAGTGAAAACAGAATTTTAAAAAATGTCTGTAAATTTATTAAAAAGAAAAAACTGAAATATTACATTAGCATAAGTATTCAGACCCTTCACTCAGTTGAAGCATCTATGGCAGCAATTACAGCCTTGAGTCTTTTTGGGTATGACGCGACAAGCTTTACACACCTGGATTGGGGGATTTTGTGCCATTCTTCCTTGCAAATCCTCTCAAGCTCAATCAGGTAGGATGGCGACCGTCGGTGGACAGCCATTTTCAGGTCCCTCCACAGATGTTCAGTAGGGTTCAAGTCAGGGCTCTGGCTGGGCCACTCTAATACATTCACAGAGTTGTCCCTAAGCCACTCCTGTGTTGTCTTGGCTGTGTGCTTAGAATTGTTGTCATGTTGGAAAGTGAACCTTCGGCCCAGTCTGAGATCCTGAGCACTGTGGAATAGGTTTTCATTGAGGATATCCCTGTACTTTGCTCCATTCAGCTTTCCCTCAACCCTGACCAGTCTTCCCAGTCCCTGCTGCTGAAAAACACCCCCACAGCATGATGCTGCCACCACCATGCTTCACTGTTGGGATGATATTGGGCAGGTGATAAGCAATGCCTGGTTTCCTCCAGACATAATGTTTAGAATTGAGGCCAAACAGTTCAATCTTGGTTTCATCAGACCAGAGAATCTTGTTCCTCACAGTCTGAGAGTCCTTCAGGTGCTTTTTTGCAAATTCCAAGCGGGCTTTCATGTGTTTTGCACAGAGGAGAGGCTTCTGTCTAACTGCTCTGCCATAAAGCCCAGATCAGTAGAGGGCTGCAGTGATGGTTGTCCTTCTGGAACTCTGTCCCATCTCCACACAAGATCTCTGGAGCTCAGTCAGAGTGACCATCAGGTTCTTGGTCACCTCTATTACTAAGGCCCTTCTCCCTTGATTGCTCAGTTTGACCGGGTAACCGGCTCTTGGAAGAGTCCTGGTTGTGCCAAACTTCTTCCATTTGAGAATTATGGAGGCCACTGTGCTCTTAGGAACCTTCAGTGCAGCAGAAAGTTTATTGAAGCCTTCCCCAGATCTGTGCCTTGCAATAATCCTGTCTCTGAGCTCTGCAGGCAGTTCCTTTAACCTCGTGGCTTTTGCTCTGCTACAATATGCATTGTCAGCTGTGAGGCCTTGTATAGAGGTATGTGCCTTTCCAAATCATGTCCAATCAATTTAATTTACCACAGGTAGACCCCAATCAAGGTGTAGAAACATGTCAGCAATTATCAAGAGAAATGGGAGGCACCTGAGCTAACTTTCAAGTGTTGTTGCAAAGGGTCTGAATACAGGTAGTCCTCGACTTACAACAGTTCGGTTAGTGATCATTCAAAGTTACAATGGCACTGAAAAAAGTGACTTATGACCATTTTTCACATTTATGACCGTTGCAGCATCTCCATGGTCACGTGATTTACATCTGTATGCTTGACAACTGACTCACATTTATGGTGGTTACAGTGTCCTGGGGTCATGTGATTACCTTTTGCAACCTTCTGACAAGCAAAGTCAATGGGGAAACTAGATTCACTTAACAACCAAGTTACTAATTTAACAACTGCAGTGAATCACTGAACAAATGTGGCAAGAAAAGTCATAAAAAGGGACAAAACTCACTTAATGAATTTAGCAATATAAATTTTGGACTAAATTGTGGTTGTAAGTTGAGGACTACCTGTACTTATGCCAATGTGATATTTCAGTTTTTTTCTTTTTAATAAATTTACAGACATTTCTAAAATTCTGTTTTCACTTTGTCATTATGGGATACTGAGTGTAGATTGAGGAAAAAAATGAATTTCAACAACTGTAGAATCAGACTGCAGCATAACAAAATTGAAAAGTGAAGGGGGTTTGAATACTTTCTGAATGCACTGTATGTTCTAACAGGTTAGCCTGGTATGAAGTAAAGGGTAACTAAGCAAGGTGCATTCAGTTTTAAAACCCAGGCTAACAAATATATGCAGAAGGTGATCAGCATCTATTTTCCACTTAGTGCAACATTAGTTATCCATTATACAAGCTGCATTAATACTGCCAAGCACCAATGTTTTGGATTTACAAGTTACTGTAATAAAATATTTTTAAACAGGGTATGCCTTAATATACTTCAATATGCAAGAATTTGTATTTAGTCCTTATAAGCATCAACATCTCCAATTTGAATTGTGTCCTTAATAGGTCCTATCTAAAATTTGAAGAGCAATCAAAAGTTTTCTGACAAAAATGTCCATAAAGGCCTATAAATTCAGCCAATTAAAAAAGAATAGTTGAGGGGGTTTGCCAATAAAACATACCAACTTTCAATGCATAAAGTAATGATTCTCTAGGAGTTTCTTTTTACTCTCTGTCCAAAAACTATATATTTTTTTGTTTATATCCTGTCTGCCCTTCAGGAACTCAGACCAGCATATGGGGCACTCCCTCCTTTATTTCCCTCCCCACAAACAACTATAACCCTGGGAGGTAAGTTGGGATGAGACAGTGTGATTGATTCAAAGTCACCCAGCGAAATGCCATAGCTGAGGATGGAACTAAACTTGGATCTTCCCGATGCCATTTTAATTGATCAATCACAAAAAACATGGCATGCAAAAGTCATGGAAATGAACAAATTAGAAGGCACTAATAGCCAGACAGGTTTCAAAGATGCAGTTCTGTCCTGGCTGTAAAGTTAGTGAGACCACAATTTAACTGTTATAATGAGTTGTGCCTGTCAGCCCCCTCTGAGCAAGCTGATTCCTGAATAAGGAGTTCAGTGTCAGAATTGTTCTGTTGTTATATAGCCTTCTCAATTATAAATATACTTTTATATGGCATTTGCTACAGTATACTTTAATTAACAGGCAGAACTGATTAAAGAAAATTATAACTACCAATAGAAGAGAATACTTGTAGCTCAGGGTTGAACTGTGTGGTCCTTGGTGCTCTCAAAGCTTGGTTGAGCACCAAGGACCCCACAGTTATAAAACTTCTTATAAAACATCAGAGGTTGAACAATTGTGCAAATGAGAAAGAAGTGAGATCAATTCTTTGTTTTAATGTTATCAGGCGATACTGCTATCAATCAATCAATCAGAATAGAGCTTGGATAGGGACCTTGGAGGTCTTCTAGTCCAGCCCCCTGCTCAAGCAGGAGACCCTATACCATTTCAGACAAGTGACTGTCCAGTCTTTTCTTAAAAACCTCCAGTGATGAAGCACGCACTACTTCTGAAGGCAAACTGTTCCACTGGTTAATTGTCCTCACTGTTAGGAAGTTTCTCCTTAATTCCAGGTTGCTTCTCTCCTTGATTCTCTAATAGGACTAATTTCAATCACATTGATCTATATTGTTTTTCTCTATGACTGTACATATTTCAGTATGTTCATTTGATTGTATAATAATGTTTCATAAAAATTGCAAGTGTTTTGATACAACAAGAGTTCTGAAGCCCACTGCACTGCCACAACTGCTTAACACAAAGCAGAAGAAAAATTTAGAACACTTCAGGGGAAACTCTTAAACAAACCCTCAAAAGAAAAATCATGCAAAGGTTGACTGGTTGAATGATCTTATTTCCCCCCACCAACAAGTAGATGGGAAAAGATATACAGTATATTCAAAATGAACAAGAAGGTAAAAAGATAAAATATACTGACAATGTACCGAAGAAATTCAACATGACAATTGAATTAAAAAACAGAATTGTACAAATGTATTCTTAATGCAAATGAATAAAACAGTTCTTAATTCAACTTTGCAGTTAAGATTATGCATACATGTAGCAGACCAGGCATCCTGTTTCTTCTTGGAGGCATTTTAGAACAGGTATTTTTTTAATCAGCTACACTTACTAATAATTACATGCCTAATACTTACATGAAAGAAAAGTTATATAATTATTTGTGTTATTTTTATTAAATTTTTATGCCACCCATCTCCCCTACAAGGTGAATATAGCAATAGCACTTAGACTTATATACCGCTTCACAGTGCTTTATAGCCCTCTCTAAGCGGTTTACAGAGTCAGCATATTGCCCCCAACAATCTGGGTCCTCATTTTATCGACCTCGGAAGGATGGAAGGCTGAGTCAACCTTGAGCCGGTGAGGATCGAACCCGACAGTCGCAGAATTAGCCTGCAACACTGCATTCTAATCACTGCGCCACGACTCCTATAATTAGAGTTTTTCATTAAAATAGCTATTCCTAAAGTTTTCCTAGAAGCAATTAAATTTGTGGAGTTTACCACAGTTTTGAAAAAATGCATCTAGGAAATCAGGTCCTATACTACCATTATTTTCTGTTTTAATACCCAGCCAAAAATGAGTTGAATTCCTATTCATATACTTGCACAGAAACAACAATGTTCATGTATCACTTTTGGAGCCTCAAATGTTAATGCATTTATCCCTAATAGCACATTATATGTGCTATTCTATCATAGGAATACAAATAACTAATCTGAATGTACTGATCTAGAAAACAAGTTACACTATTTGGTTCAAACAGCAAAACATAAACCTGTAATGTTGGTCCTCTTCATTATCGCTTTGCAGAAGATCATCATTCAGTTCTTCATCTGATATATCTGACTGAGTCTAAAATTGGGGAAAAAAAACAATCCTTGAACTGATTTTAGAAGCTTGTAAAAGTCCATACATTTCCTTTATTTTCCCTGTGAAGTATCCAGTCTTGAAAGAGGAAATCTGACACTAGATTCTTCCTCTTCTGTCTCCCTCAATTACTTTCTTCTGGATCTGGAAACAATAATCCCCAGAAGGGATCTGTGGTGGGTAGACAAGATAAAAGCTGTCCTGGATCCAAGAATCTCTTCACTCAGCCCACCTCACAGACTTGTTGCTGTTGTGGGAAAAACAGTTTTAGTACTATACTTAGACACAAATTAATAAAAATGAACTGATAACAAACAGCCAGGGCTCCAACAGAGCATTTGGAGTTCTTTACTGGAACAGCAGGAGACAGATGATTCTAAACAGTCAGGAGCTGCACCGCTGTAGTTTAATACAAAGTTAAGTAATCAAATTATTTTCCCATATATGCAAGCCTATACTTTAAACAGACTGATTTACCTTTTTGCCAGTCAATAAATCTTCTCCTAGTAAGTCATCATCCAATTCACTAGAAAAAAAAGAGATACAGTAATCAATTCTTCAAAACAGTCACAAAACTGCAGCAGTTCCTTTGTCAGTACCATTCTACTTTACCCAAAATATACTTGAAGATCTCAACAGCAATGCAGACTAAAAAGAGGGTAACCTCATTTTTCAGAAAACAAAAAAGACACATTTCTACACATAAGTCAACTAAAGCAGAGAAACAGAATTGCCTGAGCATGGGGTTGGACTAGAACAGGGGTCCCCAACCCCTGGTCTGTGGACCGGCACCAGTCCGTGGCATGCCAGAAACTGGGCCACGCAAGCAAGTGAAGCCCCATCCATGGGATGCAGGCAGCACACGAAACCACACCCCTGCCAGTCCGCAGAAAAACCTCTCTCCACGGTCCCTGGTGCCCAAAAGGTTGGGGGCCACTGGACTAGAAGACCTCCAAGGTCCCTTCCAACTGTGTTATTCTGTAATTCTGCTAAATGTAAGTTAGAATTCTGATTAATTCCAAAGAAAGACAGTTTCTACTTTAATAGCACACTAATTCACTCTGAATTCTCTGAAACATTTTCTCCCACTAATACCTAACAAAGCTGAAGTGTACCAAGTCAACAAAAAGGGCCCTAATGTGCAACTTCAGCATAGTCTAATTCAAAAGTGTGGCTTGTTTTAATTCTTTACAAGATAAGCTACTTTTTAGAGCATAAACCTTTTTAATGAAAACATGTAAACTTGTTCTGCACAAAGATAGTTGGGAAAATCAGCATACTTCAGGCACATTATGCAAAGACCTAGTTCTCTGGATAAGACTGGGACAGTTAGCAGGAAAGAGAAGAGGATGCCAAGCAGCAAAGTGGACAGACTCAATTACAGTGGATATGAGTACACTGTTGGGAGACCTGAAAGGCCAGGTTAGGGACAAATTCTCAAGGAGAAAATCTATGTGGCCACTAACAGTCAACACTGATTTGATGGCACATCATTAAGCATCAGCCAAAAGAAGATTGTTAAACTTTAATTAACCCAAGTGATACATGATCTGAGAGTGCACGACATTTCAATCATTACCTTGTCACAGTCAGATTACTAAATAGTTATCATAGAATTAACAAGCATCATGGAATTCTATATAGAGGAAGGACCTACAGGTAGTCCTCAACCTATGACCATAATAGAGCCTGCACATTACAGTCATAAGTTATGACAGTTGTAAAGCTGGTCATCTAGGTGACCGATCCAATTTTACAAACTTTATTTGCAGTGGTCATTAAGCGAATGCCATGGTTGTTAAGTGAACCTGTTTGCTATTGGACATTTTTGCTGAAAATTGGAAGTAAACACTAGTTTTCAGAAAAAAATTTGTAAATCAAGGTCAAGTGTTAGCGGGACTGTCAGGTGCAAGAAATCAGGATCCAGGATAGAGTTCAAAAATACTACAAATTTATTCCATGCTACCTATATACAAGAATATGATCTAACGCTCAAGGCAAATTGGCACTAGATAAGAGTCAACGGAATTCAAGAGGGGCTGAACTTAGGTCTCTTGTAGGACCAGAGCGACTCCAAACAGATGAAGTGTTTGACCCCTCCCTCAGGCTCAGCCTGGTCATCTCCTACATCATTTCCCCTCCAACCTGGTCCCCCCCTCCTCCATGGGCTCTTCAGAGCTGCTGTCCCCCTCCTGCATAGTCTCTTGAAAGTCTGAGTTCTCATGGAAAATTTGCAAGGGCAGGAGAGAAGCCATATCAAAGGAATCTGCCTCCCCCACTTCTGAAGTGGCTGGTGACCCAGGTGGCAATTACAGAAACAGCGTTAGAAGGTCCCCCCCTCCCCTTCCCAGGAGTTGAAGGCCAGAGGTGCAAGGCCAATCATAAGTCCATGTCCTGCCTCCCCCTGGAGCAATTGTAACCATTGTGACAGTCCAGTCTAGAGAAAATGTCTGTCTTTGGTAGTCTATCCAAAACGTCTTAAATTAGTGGTAGTGGGTAGTGGTCTCTGACCATCACTGAATTAAGTGCTTGGTAATTGTGGACAATGCAAAGGGGGCCCCCCACTCACGCTTGATGCAGCGGACTCTTGCTTTTTGGGAAAAAAGAGGTTGGAGCTGAAGCTGGTGATTTGGAAGGTCGGAGAAAGCCTTTTTGCATGTTAAGAGTCCAAATAATGCTTCAAGCTTGTTAACCTTTTGGCTGACATTGCACCCAGGATCAACTCTATGGCACAGTCGCAGTCTCTGTGTGGAAGAAAAACTGCCATTTCCTCCTCCCCCAAAACATCTTGAAAGTCTGCATACTTGTTTGGTAGATTGGGAATCTCCCTGCTAGCCTTTGGGGTGGCTGGAATAAGAGAGGCCACCAGGGTCATTACAAGAAAGCAACCATTGCTTCCGCTTAATTGTGGGGTTGTAAAGTAGCAACTAACTGGCTCCTAACACTATGAGAAGGTTCAGATGGCTAGTCACGAAAAGTTAACCTATTAACCTATGGTTAAGTGCAAAGGTACTTTGGAATGTATAATAGGACCCACTTTTAAAAGCCACCCATCAATATTTTTTACTTGCAAGGGGAATTTCAGAGGGACCATTGTAATCTTGAGGTCCTCTACTGTTGCCAGGCTGATAAAGTTAGCTGTTGCTCCTGAATCTATCAGAGCAAGTAGGATTTCTTCCCAATCAGAGCAGAGGGATTAAACAGAATCAATCTGTAACAACAAACTTGGTGTGGTTGTCTGTGAGCCCTGTTCAATGCTTGGTGAGCCCCCCCCCCCCGAGCTCTTGTAGGAAGGGCTGTCACTGTTTCCCTGGTCCTAGGGTTTGTGGTCTGGCCGTGAAAATTTTTGTGAGTAGATCTGATTGTCAGGCACAAGAAATCAGGAGAGAGGATAGAGTTCAATGGAATTGGGGGGGGGGGGGGGGGGGGGCTGGACTTAGGTCTCTTGTGGGAGTAGAGTGACTCCAAACTAATGACACCACTTTCATCCTGCCTCGGGCTTAGCCTGGTCATCTCCTATAGGGATGCAAATGGCCATAAATGCAGGCCGGCTGCCAAGAGCCCAAAATGTGATCATGTGACCAGGGGGCAGCCATCGGAACGTCAGAACCAAGCCATAAGTACTTTGGAGGGGGTCTGTTGTAACTTTGAATAGACACTAAGCAGCCAGTCGTAAGTTGAGAACTACCTCTATTTAGTCAGTCCACTCCACTTGCCTAATGAAACCCTTTAGTTACCGAGGGGCATTTAGGGAGTTTCCCAAAATTCTGGTAGCTAGTTCTGGAATAAGAGGTTGGCACACCAGTGCTTGATGGGTGTCCTGTCCCTCTCACACATGCACACACCACGAGGGTTTGAAGTCTTTACTGAGGCTTCACCAGCCCCAAATAGTATTCCCCAGGATTCACCCCACACAGGAACTAGCGCAAAACCCAATGAGTCCAATCCTCAAGTCCAAGAACTCAGAGCAAGTCCGTAAAGTCATCCATCAGGTTCGGAGTCCCAAGGCAAGTCCACAGTCTGAGCACAAATCTCAGAACCAAAATCCAAGTCCAAAGTCCAAGAAGCAAAGTCCAAAGTCCAGTTGCAGGGTCAAGGCTTAAGTCCAAAGGCAAGAGTCACAATGGCAGATCAGACGCATGGCAAGAAATGCATGTTTCCAGCAATGCTTCGCTCCGCATGCTGGGCTAAATAGCTGCCGGCCGGTGCAGCACATGAGGAGGGACAAGGCTGCCTCCTCACAAGTAGTCTCGCCGATCTCCATTGCACCTCCTTCTTCTCAGCCCTGTGTGCCCTTGGATCCAGTGGAGGAGGCAGTTCCTCCTCATCCCTGCTGACCAACTGCAGCTGCACCCCTTCTCCGCCCTCTGTTTCTGGCTGGTCTTCTGAGCCTCCTGGCTACAGCTGCATCTCTACCCTCTTCTGAGGTTCCTGGCCTCTCCTCCTCCTCTTGCCCAACCCCACCTGATTCAGAGTCCCCTGCGTCTTCCAGACACTCCTCTATGCCCCACTACAAAGTTCCTGAAGCTGGCTCTTCCTCGTCATTGGAGCAGGCTTCTGGGACATCCATTACATTGGATTGCTAAATTGCCTCTCTCTAGTCACCAATCCATGGGAGCACCTTGGTTTTGGGGGGAGCTCCAGGAAATGGAATGACAGAAGGGACTCCTAAAACAATCTTGGTATAAGATGAAGAATGAATTTGATCAAACACAGGCAAGACTTCAATGTCAATCCTATGCTGTGATGGTGAGAAAAGCAAAACAAGGTTACTTCTCTACTCTTATTTCATCCATGGAAAAGCATCCAGCAACATTGTTTACAGTTACTCAGTTCCTTTTAAAGAAAATTGAGCTAGAAGCTTCTTAGCTGGGCCACTGTGAAGTGTTTAACTTTTGTAATGTTCTGAGGACCTTGATGTCCCTCCAGGCATTTGGGTCAGAAGATTGGGTGAGCTCTGTTGGTTAAACTTTTTAATATAAAATGGGATTATTGTCTTAACCTTGGACGTTTGGACTGAGGAATTGTTTTAATTTATATGCTGCCCTGAGTCACTGCTTTGAGGTAAATAAAACAAACAAATCAATCTCTCGGAGTTATTTGGGATCAGTAGGAACCTGTGGATCCTGATTAAACAAACATGGCCTTCTGTGATATTAACTCTGCCACCTGTGGATTAGATCTCTATCCTACTTGGTTAACAAAGGTGGCCAGGGAATGATAGGAAGTTGGGTACGGGACAGTAGTAAATGTATCCTGAAGTAAAGGAGTGGTGCCTTTCTATCCAACATTTAAATAAAACAATTGGGAGAAGTCAACATAGTTGCAGAGTGTAATCTATAAATTATGGCATTCAGTTCTTTTGTTCCTTACTATCCAATTCCAAGAGAGCACTCAGTACGGATGTGGCCTAAATATATACTTCTTTAATTTACTAAAACAACTTAACCAGAATAGAGGTGGAAGGGACCATGGAGGTCTTCTAGTCCAATCCCCTGCTCAAGTAGGAGACCCTATACCATTTCAGACAGGTGGCTGTCCAGTCTCTTCTTAAAAACCTCCAGCGATGAAGCACCCACAACTTCTGAAGGCAAGCTGTTCCACTGGTTAATTGATCTCACTGTTAGAAAGTTTCTCCATAATTCCAAGTTGCTTCTCTCCTTGATTAGTTTCCATCCATTGTTTCTTGTCTTTCTGGTGCTTTGATAAATAAGTTGACCCCATCTTCTTTGTGGCAGCCCCTCAAATACTGGAATAGTGCTATCATGTCACCCCTAGTCCTTCTTTTCTCTAGACTAGCCATACTCAGTTCCTGCAACCGTTCTTCATATGTTTAGTCTCCAGGCCTTTAATCATCCTAGTTGCACTTCTCTGCACTTTTTCCAAAGTTTCAACATCTTTTTTGTAATGTGGTAACCAAAAGTGGATGCAGTATTCCAGGTGTGGTCTTACTAAGGTTTTATAAAGCAGTACTAATACTTCATGTGATTTTGTTTCTATGCCTCTGTTTATACAACCAAGGATTGTATTTGCTTTTTTGGCTGCTGCCACACACTGCTGTCTCATGTTTAAGTGATCATCCACTAGCACTCCAAGGTCCCTCTCACAGTTACTGGTTTTGAGGCAGGTCTCGCCTAATATACACTTGTATCTTTGGTTTTTTCTGCATAACAGTAAAATCTTGCTTTTCTCCACATTAAATTTCATTTTGGTGGATAGGGCCCATTGTTCAAGTCTGCCAAGGTCTTTTTGGATCCTGAGCTTGTCTTCTGGGGTGTTGGCTATTCCTGCTAGCTTACTGTCATCTGCAAATTTGATGAGTTCCCCTTCTATTCCCTCATCTAAGTACCCCACTGCTTACTTCCCTCCATGTAGATGTAGTACCATTAAGGACTACTCTTTGAGTACTATTTGTCAGCCAATTACAAATACATCTGGTGGTGATGCTGTCTATCCCACATTTTTCTGGCTTACCAAGAAGTAGGTTGTGCTCTACTTTGTCGAATGCCTTACTGAAATCCAAGTATATTATGTCCATGGCATTTCGCTGGTCTAGTAATTTAGTCACTTTGTCAAAGAATGAAATAAGATTGGTTTGGCATGATCTGTTTTTAACAAACCCATGCTGGCTTCTAGTTTTACATCAAGTTCTAGTAACTTGATGACATCCAGGTATGTGCAGACTACAATTCTCAGAATTCCAGGCCATGATTATTGATACTTCTTGGACCTATATACCCAAAAATCTGGAGGATATCATATTGGGGAAGGAGGCTTTAAAATATTATCATGTGTTTCTGATTTCACAGAACAGCATAAAACCCAAGCAAGGCAAGGGACAGAAAATATGCTGTAAATATGTTACATTAGAAGGCTTACAATATATATTGTTCTAAAATGTCTGTAGGATAATCATAATCTCCTTTAAAGATAGCACTGAGGAGCAGACTTAAAGCCTTGCCTATTCAAAAAGGCATGGCACAAGTTAATGCCTTTCTCTGCTTGAATCTTTTCTATGCAGAAAAAGCTCACAAGATCAAAGTAGCCCATTTTTAAAAAATGTGCAGAAAAGAGTATTCATCCTTGCCACCAGCATTCCAAGAACAGTGACAAATGCAAATTTGAATGTAAGGAAGAATGTAAGCAAGTTAAGAGATGGATTCTTAACTAGATAAGTTATATCTCATGGAATTTCTCAACAGAATTATTTGATTCCAATGGATATATATAGACGTCAGTTGTAAACAAGTTGCAAAAGCAAGCATTGCTGAACATTATATTATAGTAAAATCTTGATTTCAATGGAAGATTCAGGAGGGTATTTATAAGACTAAAGGCCTATTAAATCTGAAAAGTATTTTTTTTGTGTATGCATAAAAATTCCATCTGAGGCTAATTTTTCTGAGGGAACATCCATCTTCAATAGCATCTCCCCACCCAGTACGATTGGACAGACTAGGCACGTTCCAGGTCCCTTCAGTTAAAGAGCATCACCTGTCAGGACCTAGGAAACTTGTCTTCTCTGTTGCAGCACTCACTCTTTATAACAGCATCCCTCCAGAGACCCATAGGGCCCCCACTCTGATGATATTCTGACAGTTGTTGAAAACTGGGCTTTGCTTCCAGGAGTGGGGTAGTTACTGACCCCCCATCAGTTTTGGCAAAAACCACTCCATAGTGAATGGGTTCACTTAATGACTCCATTCACTTAACAGCTGTTGCAAAAAAGGTTGCAAAATCAAGCACAGTCACATGGTAACCCACTTTATGACTGTTATGAACAAAATTATGGGTTCAATTACAGTCATAAGTCAAGGACTACCTGTACCATAAATAAAATATAATCTGCCATGTTACACATATGTAAAAGTACACTTTGAGCCTCCTGGTTCATTCAAGCTGGGGGGTGGGGGGTGAGGACACTGTGTAACCCCACATAAACCAATTCTGAACTGTTTTTGCTGTGCCGGCGCTAGCACTGCCCTGTTTTCTCACCGTGCGGTGCCCCGTTTTCGCACTGCGCCCCTTTGCATAGCGGCAGCAGTGCTAGTGCAAGTGGGGGTGAGTGCGCACACACAGTGGGCAGTAGTGGGCCATGGACCGCAGGTTGGGGACCCCTGCACTAAATTAATGCCCATTAAATCCAGGTTTTAATGTACAGTGAAATGTTCATTATAATATACCTGTTTGTGTCTTCAGGCTCTAAACTTGGGGGGGGGGGAGAGAGACAACATCACAATATACATAAGATCTGCTGAGCTTCCTTATTTGGTCCACAGTCTTTCTTTACTAACCGACAGGCTTACTTAAAAATATATTAATTGGCACTAGTGAGCATGTGTTATACAGAGGAGTACAAATACAAGTACTAACAGTTACATATAACTAGGTATAGACATATATTTAGATAAATGGGGAAAATGTAATACACTGCTCCTTTATTTATTTAGCTCCATGCATTCCCCCCATGTATTCCACAGCAATATTCAACCCTGATTAAAGAAAACGGTGCTTGACCACTGCCCGCTCTTCATAGCAGGCATACACTTCTTTACAACTGAATATCAGATATGCACATGGCAGATAAATAAACTCATTAATGTATGTATTTATACATTTTCAAAACCCTGTAAATTAGAATGTGAGTGAAACCAAATGACATACACTAGAAAACATCTCAGCATAAAAGAAAAAAAAAGAGACTTACCTATCCCAATCATCATCTCCAGTTCTCCTTCTCCAAGACCTTTCTGCACCAGGCTTATGATGATCAAAGTCATCATCTATAAACAGAAGGCATTTAATGATTTGCACATGAACCAAATGCTTGGATTCTAAGACAGCAGGACTGATATTCTTTTGAAGAATCATGCTGTGTTTCTGCACTGTCCTTCTAGGAAAACAACTTTTTTCAAACTGCTTTTAATCTGTTTTTCCTGTGGTACAACAAAGGGCTTTAGGTTTTCTCCCTTACCAATCACAATGGAAAAGAAAACTGAAGTATACAAATGGATTGATAGCTTTTTAGTTCTTCATTTAATAATTTAACTAAAAACATATAGTACAATTCCTATAAATATCACTTCTGATTGTCCCAAACTGCCTCATGATGCTACTGGCTGATCTGCTCAGATGTTAAAATAGGCCTGTTTTCATTGCTTAAAACAAATTGGTTAATGAGCTCTAGACTTACAAGTGTTTCTATGGCATCAAATTCTTACAGGACTCTGGCTATCCATCAACTCCATACCGGTTGGTGGGAAATATAAGTAATTTCCTGCCATCTGGATAATCTGACTATAAACTCATTCAATATGGCTAATTATTAAAAATTATATGAACTGTAGTCCAAAACACCCTAGGCTGCCTACACCTGATTTAGGAATAGACATTCCTTTTAAAAATTCTAATATCTATTGGCAGCTCTGGATTAATTACACAGCACTGATGGGCATTCACAACATAGTGTCAGGTCTGCCATCTTCAGCTTGGCGCCTCACTAGCATCCTGCCATCAAAGACCATGGGGAGGGGGCATGGGGGGACATATGGGCAATAAACCTGTGTGGGGATGCAATGGGAAATAGGGAGGGGGGATGACAGCTTGACAAAGACCAGGGAAGCACGAACCAGTTTGTGCCAGCACTCAAGGCCACGCACCCTGAGAATGGAATGAGGACTTCCCCAAACATCTCAGCATTTCTCAAAACACCTATGCGGGTCTTCATTGGCTAAAGATGAACTGGTCATGGGGGTACGGCTGAGATGAGGGGGAAAAATTTGTAAATTTTCGCACAGGAAACTTCTAGCCTGACTTTACTGCAGCCAGCAACCTTAAATAAAAGAACCTATCACTTCACCCAAATGGAGTTGAGGGTCTTTCTTTTCTAAGGGACTTGACTGGGGCAGGTCTGACACACAGTGCTTCAAATAGTATTTTCAGGTACATGTATTGTCCAGATGATCATTACTAAAAAGCTTCAACATTTGAATGTTTTTGCCTGTCATTTATATGTCTGTTTTACACTATAATCCTATGCATGAAATCAAATTAATCCTCAGTAAGATGAAGACTTTGTTTATCCAGAAGTTACTTGAATTCAAGATAATTATTTAGGCCACAACAGAGTTGCAGTTACAACCTCCAGGAAGGAGATACTAGACGATCGGGGGTGGGGTGTGTGTGTGTCTGGACTCATGACTCCAACTTGAGAGCTGGTGGAAGTCATAGCCAGGAGACCCTTTGCCCCGCAATAGTTTCTGAAACAGGATATTCTGGTGATTATCACTCATACTACAATTAATTATTTCCGAAGAAATCTACTCAGAAACTACAACTGATTCAAACTGCAACAGCCTAACTGCTGATGGGGCCAATTCCAGATTAACAAAATGTTTTCCATCTTGCAGGAGTTGCACTGGATATCAGTACAGTTCTGAGTACAAATCTACATGCTGGTCATTGTTTATAAAGCCCTTTATGGCTTGGGGTCTTCAGGACTGTTTCCAAAGTAAAATTTCACCCCACCCCATGCATTCTATTGAAGAAAGTATGCTGGTGATTAATGAAACCACCTCTTTCCCCCAAAGGCTTAGTTGATAGCAGCACAAAACAAGTTTCTCTTGGAATTCTTTGTTCCTTTCTCTCTGAAATTAGAACAGCTCCTTCCTTTATTGGGTTCCAAAAACAGGAGATCATACTTTGGCCTTCAAGGAAAGGTAATAAGAATTATTACCTATATTGTTCGGTAATTATGATTTACTGTTATAGGCTGCCCAGAATCTACTGGAATGGGTAGCATACAAATAATGTGAAATAAACATGTTCACAGAAATCTAAGTTACACACTTTTTAGAAATAATTAAGGCATTAGGCATCTTAATTTTAAGCATACTAAGACAGGACACTTCTTGTACTACCCAATACTCATTTTACGCACATGGAATGTATGCAATGTCTTCTATATTAAGAGTGTATTGGAATTCACCAATAGATTTACAGATTCATGAAGATTCTTAACAATATTTCTGTTGCATGGCTTTTACTTTCAAAAAGAGAAAGGAAGGTAGGAATATGCCAGTTTTCTTTAACCCAGTGTCCTCCACGTATGCTGACCTACAACTCCCATCACTTTTATTAAGAAAATAGAATGAAGAGTTTTTGTTCTCTTATGTTGAAACCTCCAAATTTCCCAATGAAGCTGAATGTAGCAGACTGTCAACAGGCAAGAGGAAGCTTTGTTTTTAACTACAGAATGTACTTCCTTATGATGGGATGATACCACAAACATGGTCAGTTGTAAAACAGGCTGGACAAATTCATGGAGAATAAAGCTACTAATGACTATTAAGCCCTATTGTAACCACCTTCAATTTTGAAGGCAATATATCTGTAAGTATTAGTTGCTGGAGAACATAAACCAAAGAGATTAAATTATCCTCAAATTCTGCTTGTGGGCATCTCAGACATATCTGGCTAGCCACTGTGGAAAAAAAGGATGCTGGACCAAATCAACATTTGATTTGATTTACCAGGTACCATTTTATATTTTAAATGAGTTTCTAGGTTTAGCCATTCAAATTTACTTTAAATAGCTAACTCACATACAATAGCATGTTGTTTGTGATAAACAATACCATGTTTCATGGAGAACTGCTTTAATTCAAGTGAATTTACAGCTATATTAATTTTGTGTATGCTCAGGTCAGCAACACAGCTCTACCCTATATCCTCTATTAACATCATCATACTGGAAAGGAGGCTAAGCCGACAGATATAGAGGCAATCCAAGATGAGTAAACTAACTTTGCAGCAAATTTTAACTGAGATTCAACCACTATAACATTGTGGCTCTTCCCACATGTCAGCTTTGCTTGTAGACAGACACAAAATGTTTCCTTTGAATTATTTTTCACTTTTGTTACAACACAAAAGTTGGAAGTTTTATATACACTCTAAGTAATGAAATCACACAACTAGTAAGTTATTTAAACCTTGATAACTCTACAAAAACACTGAATTGCAGCCACTGGGGCCAAACATATCAAAGAAATTCTGATTTACAAAACTAGTCAAAAGAGCAATATCCAAGAAAGCATATGAGAAATTCAGACTTAATACGTAACCAGCTTTTTTAATCATGACATTTGTAAGTACTTAAATGTTAAGACACATGGTAAGGATACACTGATATAAGGAACATATCAAGAACCAAGTCAAGACTGAGACAGATCAAACATAAGGAGTATGAGCTGAATGAATTTTAAAAGCAAGCAGGAAAACAGCTAGGTTCAACTTACTTTTTTTCAAAAGTTAATGTCATTCAGGATTGAAAAAACACTTTTGCAATAAACACAGATTTGTAATTTGAAAGCTTTATACCAGGGCAATATTCGAGTACCACCAGTCGCCTAGCAGGTGGGCGTGGCCTGCTAGCCGCCATTCACTGGACACAGCTGACTCAAGACAGCTGGGTTGGAACGGAACAAGTCGCACCGGCTAACTGGATGTGGGGACAACTCGGTGCCCCACAAATTCGCATCCCCAAACTGCTAGCAGCCACGTGCATGCACGTGCACACACACACGCACACACACCACATTCCAGGTTTGGGGACTTTTATCCATAGAGGAAGGAGAAGGCCTTCTCCCCAAGCCCAGGCATGATTGGCAATTTGCTAACTCAGATGTGGATACAAGTCTCCAAGCTTGGAATGTTTGTGTCTGTGTGTGTGTATACCATGCTAAAGAGATGTTCTTTTCCCAATCCCAGACATCGTTGCTGTTTCCCTGTCCAGTGCCCCCTCCCGGCAAAGCAGGAGGTGGAGGACGTTTGCAGGAAGCAGTTTCCTCCGAGTCCAACTTCTGTCTTGACAGATCTCTGGAGAGCAAGAGGAAGTGGCAGAGGAGCAGCGCTCCCGGGTCCTGCACAAGGGAGGCTGGCCCTTCTCGAAAGGAAATTCCCATTTCCAATCGTGCGTGGTAAGGATGCTGGGGCAGCCTTCCCTCACACAGCTCCCCTGCCACCCCCTCCTCCTCTCAAGAGATCTGCAGGGGAGGCAGAGATCTGGAGGGCAAGGTGCAGCCTCCATATTGGCCACTTCTACCTCTCCAAGCCCTCCTTGATTAAACATACATCATATATAAATTAAAAAACAGCCAAAAAGAAAACATAGTTAAATCACTAATTACAGCTCTTCACATATTTTCTGGAAAAACCACCTTTATTGATGTTAGGAAGGAAGAGCAAACCTTACTAAGGAACTCTTAACTGTCAAGCCCCTGGGCTCGACACGTACCAGTGGGGGGGAGGAACGGAGCAGCCAGCCGAAGCCAAGCAGCCGACACCCGTGTGCCACCCGAATCCCGGAAGTCAGCTGGGCGTCAGAGACAGGCCAGCTGGGTGTCAGAGGGGCCACCTCTCACTGTGTTGCCAGAAGCCGGGGAGGAAGCCGGCTACTGTGCGAAGCAGCTGGTCTTCAGAAACGCTGCCTGACGCACTGCCGGCGGCCGGGGAGGACGCCGGCTGCCGCATGAAGCAGCTGGGCTTCGGAAAGGCCTCCCGGCGCCCTCACACACTGCGGAACACCGCCGGCGACGGGGGGGGAAGCCGGCTGCCGGGCGAAGCAGCTGGGCGGTGAACGCTGCCGATCGGGACAGCTGGTCCGGCGGAGGCCATGTGGCCTGGAGAGGCACCCGACGGCTGCGGTGATGCGTCCGGAAGGGGGGAGGCCAGAAGAAGAACTGCGGCTTTTACATGCACGGACCGGAT